TGGGGGGGTCGTGTGTCCCCCCCGGCCCTGCTTTTGCTCTCACACCAGCCGCCTGCTGCTCCCAGTACTCCCAGTAAAGCTTCCCAGTTCTCTGCAGTCCTGATTATTGGGGGATATTGAGGGGGGGCTCCGAAAATCTTGGAAATGGGAGGGGGTTTGGGCAACGTCAGCGCCCCAAAATTCTACATATCCAGGGCACCCCAAAGCCAAATTCCAGCAATCTGGGACCTCCCAAAACCCACCTTGGACCCCCCAAGCCGCGGGCAGAGTCAGCCCAAGCAGCAGCAGCCAATGGGAGCGAGCGCAGCTTCTGCGTCATCAGTTGCCGGGCAGACCCGGCCCAAACTGAGCCCTCACCGAGCTCAGCCAATCAGAGAACGCCCTCCACTCGGTTTTAGGGGCCCGTCGGAGCTCCGGGACAGCCAGATCGCCGTTTTTGGGTTCAGCAGAGCTGCGGGACCTCTGGGTGCTCATTTGTGGGTTCCCCTGAGCTCCCACCTGTCCCACACCCCACGGACCCCCCAGAACCCCCACCCCGGGGCTGCAGCGCCCCGAACGACCTCAGCCAATCAGAAAGGGTCGAAGCGGACTGTGGCTAATCAGAGCGCGTCTTGCTGATGACTCATCAGTTGCCGGGAAGATGCGACGCAAATCAGGCTCCCAACTTTGCACTCCACCAATCAGAGCGCACCCAAAACACCTCCCAAAACGGCCCCACCCGGCTGGTTTTGGGGTGTCAGCACCTGCCTGGCGCTGGGGTTGGAGCGTGGGTGGGGAGCTGGGGCAGTACTGGTGGTACTGGTGGTACTGGGAGCCCCCCCGGCTGCGGGTGAGGAGCTCTCGGGTGAGCGGGGGGGGGGGGCGGGGTGTGTTGCGGGACGACCTGGTCCGGGAAGGGCACGGTGACTACCCCTTAGTCACTCGGGCCACTAACTCACAGACACCAATGTGGTGGACGGTAAATGGCGTTTATTAGCTTGTAACACGGCCTTTTATAAGGTTTAGTTACATTGGCACTTCCGTCTGCTTACGTTATCCCCTAGCTGCTATTGGCTGTCAGGCATTGGAGGGGGGTGGTCCCTGTCTTTCCGTACATCCCGAAATCTTCCGAACGCCAGGCCCTGTCTACCCACATTTCCCCCCCTCTCCATGCCATATAAAGCAGGTTATAATCTAAGAAGTGCAAAATACTGTCATAGAGGTCATAGAGGTCAAAAGTTTTTAAGGCTCAACAAGTGGCTCAAAGGAAGCCCTAGAGAGGTAGAGAGAAGTGTCTTAACACTGAGGTATAGAATTGTGAGTCAGTGCAAAACTATGTGGAACTACTTTGGTTTAAGGCATTATCTACAGCATTTGCCGCTGTTTGACCACCATGATGTTGATGGATTTCAGACGGTTCTCAACAAAGGATATGAGCTTGTTAAAAATGCAGGGCCCAAAAACCAGTGCTAAGAGGAGTATTGCTATTGGACCGATAAGAGAGGACAGTAAGGTGGTGAGCCATGGTGCCTGATCAAACAGTGATGTGAACCAGTTCTGCGATTCCCTGTCCTTTTTTCGATTTTCTAATCTCTCTCGCAGCTTGGCCGTGGTGTCTTTCCCTAACCCTGTGTGGTCTGTGAAAACGCAGCACTCCTCTTTAAGAGCAGCACACAGCCCGCCCGCTTGTAAGAACAGAATGTCCAGTCCTCTGCGATTTTGCAGAACCACCTTGGACAGTGACTTAAGCGAGAGCCGTGATGGACTCTTCGATCCGGGCTATGTCCTCGTCTGTTGCTGCCTTTAAAGCACCGAATTCTCTGTTCTGACATACCAGGGACGCTATTCCTGTCCCTGCTCCAGCACCTCCTGCAAGCATCAGTAGGGCTACGGTCACTGCTGTGATGGGCTCCCGCTTTGCCAAGTGATGGTCTGGGACAGTCATGGAATCGTACACATAGTTCTCTGGGTGGAAATAGATCTTGGGGATTACTGTCACTTGGACACAGTACTCTGAGGATTTGTTAAACACTGCCCAAGATACGCAAGGGGTGAGCCCTGTGGAGGAACAGGCCCACTTAGTGTTATTAGCTGGGATTAACCATTTTGCTTGGGTCCTGTAGTGCACTTCCCTAATGCATAATTGCCTTTTATGTTGCGGGATTTGGCCCACGCACATCCCGCTGCCGACTATTTCTGTGAGTGTGATGCTTTGTATGTCCATTTCCCGTAGACATTGGGCTGGATTATCGCTGTAGGCCTGTACGGGCGTGTCATTTATTGCTATGCCTTGGTAATAGGGTGGCTGCGCTCCATAACAGAGCCAACAGTGTTGTGTGAGGTTTGGGTTGGTTTTGTTCAGGACTTGGTAACTAGCTTGTATCTGTTTCCAAAGTGGATGTGTAGCACTGGAAGTTGGACTGCTAAAAGTGTGCGGTGTCATGGGTGTTGTAGGGTGAGTGGTCTGCCTGGGGGTCGTTATGTGTGGTGTCTCAGGCCAAGGGTCGTTTGGGGCGGCTTCTTTCTTAATCTGGATCAGACTGCCTTGGTCGTATCCTGCTGCCTCGTACCTTACTCCCCATGTTTTCCCAAGCAGCCAGCTGTCTTCCTGGGGGTTCGTAACATTTACAAGGAGGTATTTACAGGCTATGCCCCCTTTCCATACCTGTTCTGTTTTGCACCCACGTGGGCCCCATTGTACCTTCAGGTATTTATCTCTAAGGCTGCCTGCTATCCATGCAGGGGCGATGGTCTCGCAGCCCCAGTATGCACAGTAGTACTCGTTAGGCAGGTTACAGTACCCCTTCCCCGGATTTGAGGTGAGACACATATAGAATCTCCCATATTCCCGACAATTACTACGTGGGACTAACGCACACAGGGTGAGGGTAAAGCTTGGTGCACCTGACGTTACCTGAGAGGCGATAACTTTCTTAGTCTGGGGCCTGAGGAGAGACCATTTAAATGGCTGGTGATGTGAGTGGCCTGCACGTGTTGGCTCTACCTTGGAGAGTGCCAGGATCAGTATCACACAAAGACATCGCTGCTTTCTCTCACGGTGGCTGTCTCGATGCTGTCTGGCCTTTGTCTGCGCTGAGCCCCCAGGGTTGGACAGGGTGTTGGTCGGTGTGTCGTTCTCCTCTGGCACTGGGCTGTACTGGTTCTGAGGGTGTCCAATGACCCAATCCTGCAAGTAAAAGCTCGCAGTTTTCATTAGTTTTATTCTGCAGGTCTGGCTTAATAGATATAAGTGGACACCATTTAACCTCACCAGCTTTCTTAACTGCAGCAGTTCAGTCACTCCAGTATGATCCCAGGAACTTCCAGTAAGTGGCCAGTTTGATCCCACTCATCCCCAGTATGGCTGCAGTCCCTCCCACACACTCCCAGTATTATTGCAGTCACTCCCAGTAAGACCCCAGCAGGACCCCAGGAGGGGCCCAACTGCTCCCACTATGATCCCAGTTGCCCCCAGCATGGTTCCAGTTGCTCCCCTTCACCCCTACTCTGGTTCCAGTCACTCCCGGAATGATCCCAGTCTCTCCCAGCCACTCCCAGTATAGCCCAGTTGCTTCCAGTATGCTCCCAGTCAGTCCCAGTATGATCCCAGTCTCTCTTAGTAGGATCCAAGTTACCCCCTGCATTGTCCCAGTTTCTCCCCAGTCACCCCACTGTAGTTCCAGTCCCTCCCAGTATGACTCCAGTAGGATCCCAGTGACACCCTCCATGGTGGCAGTCACAGCCAGGATGAACCCAGACATTCCCTGTCACTCCCAGTATAAAGCCATTTGCCCCCAGCAGGGTCCCACTTGCTCCCACTCACCCACTGCAGTTCCAGTCCCTC